ATAAATATACTTTTCCCAAAAAGGACTCTGATAGGCTAATATTATATATTAATATATTGAAATAAAAAAATACTTAAAGATAGCTGTATGAAATCCCATCAATGAAACACCTGTAGATCAGTAATGAAATATGGTTCTCTTTGTGACTGGTAAGAACTGTGGATTGGACTTCATTTTCCTTCTGCAGTTCTGGAAAAATTTTAAATCTCTAGATGGGACTTCCGGGATTTCTCTTTATTGAGGGCTTATTCTCTGCTTTAACACTCTTTTTGAGTGGAAGTTCAATAATACAACTCCACACTGGCAAGGACCATTTCTCCAGAAACAGCGCAGGCTCCTGAAACAACTTTAGCAGTGTCTGTAGGTGTAAAAATGTGAACTGGCACTAACACAGTATTATCTCATGCAACTACCTGATGCTGATTTGGAGCTTCATAAAAACATTCTGACTGACTCTCCTGTACTGCTTATTTCATACCCGATGAGTCTTTGGATCATCCCATTCAAACTTAAGACTTGTCTTACTCTTTCCAAAATGAGTGATCTCTTGTGTTCGGAATTCAAGGCTACTGCTAAGAAGGAATCATTGTGGATTAGAAGAAGCAGGCCAAAAATTGGAAAGATAAACTAAGACAAAGCTTTTATTAGACATTTTTAAGGATTGCTATCTTTCAACCAGACAAGCATTTCTAGCAGTCAAAGGCTGAAAGATTCACTTTTAGTGAAGTCTGGCCCTTGCAGTGCTTGTATCTAACAGCTGCACTGTATAGCAAGAGCAAATTAAATTGATGTTCTGTTTTACTTCTGGTATAATACAAGTTGTTTATATTTCAGCAAGCTCCATCTGAAGTAACCGAGAAGGGTTAATTGCAGACCACTGACCTTAGCTAAACAAAACGTAAAGCTCCAAGTTTTGATGAGAAAGCTCAGTAAGCTATGAGCTAACTCTCCTTTATTGAATTTGTATTTGCAAGCTTAACAGCATGAGGAATGATAATCCAAGCAAATGAAAGTTTCCTTTTGTCAGTAAAAAAAGCCAAGGACTGTTTGTGCCCTGTACTTCTCCCAAAGCATGATAATGTTTGCAAGCTAGTCATGCTATTTGGATCGTGGGCTTTGCTTAGCTAACACATCACTGCGTAACAATAAATGAACACAGCATTGAAAATGTGCGTTTCATAATGAAAAGGCCTTCAGATATTCTGGAGGGCAGGAGATTCTTCTGCTTTACATGGAGCAGCCAGTACTTCCACTCAGTTTAACTATCAAGTTACTACGTATCATCTTGCTCCTCCTAACATTAATAGCAAAACACTCACTGACTTCTCCAGGGGTTAACTTCTCTAGGGGTTAAACAAGTCTATTACTTTCACTCTGTCTGGAGCAGGAATGGTTTGTTTTGATTTAGCAATCTGATTTTCTCTTACATTGGGTGTGCTTCAAAGTCACAGTAAGTAGCTAAGCTTGTCACGATCAATTATATATTTAAGCCAAAACCCCACTTTATCTAGGCTGCGCACAGAGTCAGGATGCAAAAACTGCCTTTCATTAGTAGCTCTGCACTTTTGTAATTCCAGTAGTTAAGCTAAGTGCATGACTGAAACTGCATGGTATGCCAGCTTCAATGAAACCGCTATTTTATTGTCCTAGTTTAGTTATCTTCAGCTCAGCTCACCCAAGTAACAGCAACATTTCATAAACCTATCAACACTTCCCTAATAAATACTTTCTTCTAACACAGAAAGCTGCTGAAGCAAGCATGAGACGTTGGCTAGCTGATAGTGTTTGCTCTTATGCTCTACTAAACAGGAGAAAATAAACCAAAATTGGATTCTGGTATTGGATCTTCTGCACTTGTCCTCTATTTTTAAACAGACTGCAGTATTTTTAAGAGGAGAAAGAACTTGTTCTGTGAGTAGGCTCTGGGGTTTGCTGTTTTGTTGGTTAATAAAACACTCTACAAACACAACTTACGTGAGAAAGAAAAGATAAATTGTCAAGCAGGAAATAAATACAAAGAAAGCATTTTCTTTACTCATTTTTGGGCTCTCACTTCAGAACACAGATTTACTTTCCCCTCCCCCAAGTTAGTATCACCTTTAACAAAATGGTATGGTGAGGTACATTATCAGAAAGAAGTTTAAATAAAGTATCATCCAGATTCACTCAGCTATAAAGCCCAGATCTTTCTTTTCCCCCCTCTGCTGGGGAGTTTATTGGCAACCTCAATCTCTGATGATGACATATAAGCAGGAGGTTCATTTCAGATGTGTGTTGCTTTCTCCTAAACTTCATCATCTTTGATGAGTATATTTTAGCTATCTATTTTTTTGGTCAATATATCTACCCAAATCTGCAACAGCTTGTCAGGTAAGTGCAGGTAACAGTGTTGGGGAAGACATTTTTTGACTTATTCATGAACTCCTGCATCAAATAGATTTTCAGTTCCAGCAGTGACTCATTTGAAGTAGTTACTGCTGGCAACAGTGGCTGAATAAACTGGTTATACGTGTAACCCTCTACTTCTTGGATGATTTTTAGTGATGCACTACAGATGACTCCTTTGCTCTGGCTTTGCTAGCTGACATTATCTGCATTCCTAATTCCTTTTTTCCTTCTCTTTCCTCCCCCTTCTTCTCCCTTTTACATTTTTTCTTTTTTTCAGAGTCCTCTGCTGTAAAAGCATAGAGGAGAGCACCCATGACAACTGCAGATTGAATAAGCTTCCTCATTTAGATTGTTATTTAAAGTTCAACTTTCATGATTAGTCAAATGAATCAAAAAGATAATTGAGAGAGAGAGATTATGTGACGCAGACATTAGTCACTACTGCTGATAGTTGAGTATATGGTTTTGTATCACCTATACAAAATGTGTTGGTGTCAAGCTTGTATTCACTGGGCATTTGTGTGTAAGAAATGGTCTGGACCTAAGAGTGAATTTTCTCCTAGATTTTTCTGCCATAATTATCATCTTTCCATCTGTTTGTCATATCCCTCTGTGGCTTGAAAAAGGTGTAAGGAGAAGGTCACTCATTTTTTTCAGACCTTGTTCCTTTCAGTTTAGTCTGTTGCCATGTGCCTCTTAGTCACTGAGTGACAATGGCAATAACTCTCACCCCCAAACCCTCCTATTCCATTTAACTTATCAGTGTCTCTTAAGAGCTTTGTTCCTTTCTGGTTTGAAGGACAATGCATTATGCACTGCTGTAGTTTTGCACACCTCACTTCTCCTTGTGGTAATGAGATTCTGGAGTCAGAACCTCTAAAATCTGTTTGAGATCAAAAGCTTCAGTCCTCTGCATGTTGGAGGAATTCTGTTTTGCAGTTTCCTTTTTACATTTTTGTCTTTCAAGCTTTCAGGCTTGTTTTCAAACGCCAGTCACTACAGAATCACTAGTCTTGAGCTGCAGGCTTTCACTGATGGCCAATTGCTTTTTTTTGTCCTGTAACACTGTTACTGGCTCCTGGGGAAATAAACTCTGTAGGCATCCTGCTCTGTGTTTCGTGACTGGAGCACAATATGCAATTACTGTTACATAGCTTTTGCCCAAGCTTGTAGCCCCATGCAAGTTCTGAAGGTTAGTGGTACTCTCAGCTCCAGGTACTTGTAAACAAAGGTACAGCTTCTAGATACTAATGATATAATTGTTTTTTATAGGAAGCCTTGTGTCAAGGATGCAGAATATATCCCAGAACTGACTTAAGAAACCTGAGTAGGGAAAGCAAGTCTATTTTAGTATTGCTGTCTTTTTCAGGGTCCATCCTTTTGCTCTTTGCTATTGAGGGAATGGGGCTATATGGGCTTACTACTGACTTTAGTGGCTAAAAGGGGACTTAAACAGCATTTTGACCAAAGAAAATTCTCCTTACGTGTTCAAGTGCAGGTGATCATGCATGTGTGCTCCCAACCTAGTGGGGAGCCTACCTTTTGTTATAACTACGAATCTGGGCCACTGAGAAACATCCATAGCACAAAGTCCAACATAGTCCTTGTCCTTCATAAACAGTTCCAGAAACTTTTTCTGGGCATCTTAATGCTTAGAGGTCATACATGAATAAGAAGACCTATGTTAACCCCATCGTTTAAACTAATATTCACAAAGAAGCCTATAGGAGTGCCCTAACCACTGTCCAGTCCCTAAACTTCGTATCTGTCCCTGAAACTGGTCTGGATCCTCTCTTGTGGAATAGATTTCAGTCCTTCTAGGCTGGGAAAAGACCTGAATCTGAAGCTCACACCCCCTGGGAGAATGCTCTACACATTAAGTCACAGAACACTTCCTTTCTGTACAATAGCTTATATAGTGTGCAAGGAAACACCATTTTCTTTAGAAGCTGCATATGTTAAAGAAATCAGTCCTGCTCAGTTACAAAGCTACCCAAAGGAGATGACTGAGTACCCTGGACAAATGGATACATCCACCTTGCAATCCTCATGCTTGTGAGGATTAACTAGGATATAAATAGGGTAAGGAGATGGGATAGGAAGTTGAGAGCTTCCTGTTCAGTGTTTGGCCTTTTTTTTTTTTTTTTACTTTACTTGACGTACAGCAACCCTAGATACTTTGGTCTGTCTCTGGATCAGCACGGGGAAGTCCTAAGTAGTTGTTTTGGGTCTCCCCTATTATGACAGTATAGCATTTAATATAGGACTTTACATAAAGAAAATGTGCAGGGTTTTTTTGTAATTCAGAAACCATTCAACCACTAAAACATGTACACCAGACACTTTTAAAAACCTGGATGCAAAGTTATACGGTATAACAGGCTTAATTGAAATCTTTTCCTTCCTACAAGAATACACTGATTTTTTGACACAATGATCACAGCTACTCATATGGTAGAAAACTCAGAAAATCAGTTTGATTCTATCCCAAAGCATATATTAAATGTCAAAAGAATATATTGCTGCAAAGGATCTGGTTGCTTGCCACAATGGAAATGACTCAGCTAGCTTGTTTAAAGAATGATATTTTAATTGCTTTGTAGATCACAAACCTGCCAGCCTTGTAATTTACACTGCTGAAGAACAAGACGACATCTTTCCTTGGCAGACAACTTCTTCTTCTCTCCTAGTGCTGTATCAGCCAAATCTTTATACCTAGAAAAATCAGAAGTTGAGTTACTCTAATGTTGGCCTAGTTGACATCTTTGCAGAAATTGTCGCTTTTCCTTTGACTCTCAAATCTTTGATATCCGAACTGGAAACTTAGGATTCTGCTAAGGGTGAAGAAAACAAGAAGGTCAATCACTTTAAATCTTGTATATTATTAGACATGACCTTGGTTAATAACAGTGTGGGACAAGTGATGACTAAAACCCAGATTTGCTTCCTGTCAGTTCTTTGGATGCCTCACTGAAAATCAATGCAGAAAGAATGCAAAGCCTCACCAACTGATTTCATTGGTACTGAACTGGGTCACTGAAAGGAGGAAGATATTTTTCCAGTATGTCATATGCCTATTAAGGAGTAATTCATAAGAAAGTAACCTTGATAAAGATGTTTTCCATCAGTCAGAAATAATTCTTCCTTCACTTTGAACAAAAAGTCTTATAGCAAAGAGACTTTAAGGAACTTGATCAGTTTACACTATTGGAAAGAAGATCAAGAGGAGACTTGACTATAGGATCAAGTACCTTCAAAGATAGAAAATGCTAGATATTAAAGGGCTCTGATGTACCAGATAAAAGAACAAGTGTAGGAAACTTAAGTCATACAAAGTCAAATAAAGAATAAAATTCAAATTTTAACTGTGAACTTACGACAACATATTACTAAAGAAACTGATGAATTTTATAAATGTTGATGCTTCACATTATTACTATACTTTCTTGAAGGTACTGCTCAGTCTAGATCTGACTGCATGTAATGAGCCGGAATGCTTTTTCATTATAAAAAGCCAGTTTTTGAAAAAGAAAGGTTTTGCAAATGTGTCATTTTACTAAACTCTCAATGAAACAAGGTGCGTGCTAACTACATTTCCTGACATTTTAGTTACTCTGTTCCTTAACAGCTGAATTCACCTACAGCTCTGGTGCAACCCAAAACTGTGCTGTTCTGGGACCACTCACACAGACCATGGCAGGCAAAGCTGCAGGGCCAGAATGACTGATGCCGGGGACATCAGTGGTCCCAGGAGCTGTAGCAGCTCTGGAGAAACATTTGCAGGCAAACTGCTCTAAGGCCAAATTACACCTAGACTTCTAGTTTCCTGGAGCCACACAGACCCTTGGTTATCTCAGCTCCTGCAGTCTGGAAATGTTCTTTGGTCTGATAGCAGTCCTGCTGAAGACTCCATGGCTAAGTCTATACTACTAAATGGAATATGAAAGGGATTATTTCTCTGGCATAGAAACCATCTGGCAAAAACCCAGCCCATTTATTAAGTATTCTGCTATGTTCTATTAAACTCTGTCATCTTCCAACAGAGTACACTCTAAGCTGCCTTCTGGAACTGGTCACTAGCCTGTCTTAATTCCCAAATTGTGCCCAGGAATTGTTGGGAGAAATGCTGGTTGGAAGGGGCCAAAACTTCACCAGAGATCCTTTTAGTTAGTCTAACACTCCAGATTAGCAGTAGAAAACTGTGCATCCTACTTTCCCAATAGCTCAACTAGCTGTATGGTCACAAAGATATTTGTTTCATGGACTGCTATTAAGGCTGGGGCCACCTCATTTCCATACTTGTATCAACTGGATTTTCTTAGAAATCATGGAGAATCAGAAGTGTTAGAGAGACAACTACTGGAAAGTTTAGCAACTGCTGACTGAAACAAAGATGATTCAGCATTGACTCACAATGCATGAAGAAGTAACTGTGAAAGTGGTCAGCCTGAAACTCACTCACAGCAGAAACCCAAAGAAATGTATTTCACTCCTGAAACAGAGCCAAATTAAAATTTAAAAGGTTGAAATTCTAAGTTTGGATCAGATTTACTTTAGATCCATGCAAATCACAGGACTCAAAACAAGGATAACCAAGCATTCTTTAAAATCTGTATTACGCAGGAGGCCAGACAATGATCCACTCTTTTCCCCCAGCTTTAAAAGTCTCTAAAATTCTACCACATTACCCTGGAAGTCTAGTCAGAGTTCACAATTCCTTCCAGCCATTAAAGCAACCCCTATCTTAGAAAAACAGGGTGGGCTAATGGTTGTGGTAGCAGAGAAAGAGCTATCTACGGAACTTTAATTCTGCCACAAACTCCCTCTGTGAACATAGCAAGTCATCTGGAAGATGACCTACCCTTTCTCTATGTTAGACACTGAAAAGTTACACTCCTAGCCTGAGTTTGTCATGTTGTTCTTAAGACAGTCTGTGAAGAGAGGTATTTCCACAGGGTGACTTGTCCTATGCATCCTAGGTATTTTTGTTAAAATGAGAAGAGATTGCCCTCTGGAGGTGCCTTTCTCCACTGACCACAGATGGACTCAGAAGAGAAGTCCAGGCTGGATGCTTGCATTCTGGGTGCCTGAGAGTAATCTCACCTTTAAGTCTGCTTGTCTGACTTACTCATCTGCAGAGTAACTAACAGAGGGACTAACATAACTTTCTTATTTCTCCTATCTCATTCAAATATACTGGCTATCTAAGCACCTAGGATGAAAAAGCACTTTAGGCCTGGTGTCATCATCTGCTATGTCAGATCCATCATTTTTATCTTGTATAAGGCTGCTTAAACAAAAACAGCACAAAATTTGTAGCTATTTTTCAGCCAGAATGGTTCCCTGATTTGATTTTCAGCCCAGTTGTGCAAACACCGCTGTTAACACTAGGAAATTAATGGGAACGGTTAAGTGGGAATGAGCAGGCCACACCTGTTGGTGGCAGCCCAAATTTGTCCTGGACAAAAGTGGTGGTCTAATCGTAAGCTTATTTGATTTTTTTGTACTTAATTTTAAATGAGTTACAATATTTAAACTGTCTTCATTTTTTTTTTTCCTTTTGGGGAGATAACCAAACACTATAGCTTTGGCTTAGGCATTTTTTCTATTTTAAACTTGCTTCCTCACAAGTGCTACCTCAGTAAAACATTATGTTAAAAAAAAACCCCTAAACAAAATTGACAATAAACTAAGATATAAAGAAATAAATAAGAACCTGTGAGACATTATTATCAAAATGACATTATCTTTAGTGTATCAGATACTTTCTACTGTGAACTGAGCTTGTGTTACCATGTAGACACAATTTAACATCCTCTTAAATGTAACCCTTTCACGGTCACAAGAATAGCAAAAGAACTTATTATTTTTCAAATTTACTGTATCACAGAAAATAGTAACAAAAAATACTGAATTTATGGTGCAGGCTTGTGCAGATAAACTTGAGTTACTTGCAAACAACAGGGTTTGCTTCTGGGGAGATGTAACCTAGACAGTCTTTGAAACCTTCCCTTAACAGAGAATTCCTCCCCTAACACTGCAGCCTTAGTTCGCTTGGAAGTGAATGAACAAACCCAGTTAAATACCAGGCTTCTTCTCACTGACATGTTGTACATTTTGCTCCAAGTAAATAATGCAGAGTGTACTTGTAAGGCTTTAGAGAGGATCCTGAGGAATCCAGTGAGCATACTCAGTGCCACCTGGCTAAAAAAAGGTTAAATACACTTCAGCTAAACTTGGATTGACATGTTAGCTGTCTAGACTTAAGTCTTAAGAGTCAGTAGAATACACTATTCAGGTGTCATATACCCTACTGTAATATTGATGCTTAAAATAGTTCAGATTAATTGTGCACTGCAAGACCCCCATTTCTTTCCACCGAGTATAAAGATAGTCTATGCTCTTGGCTTCAGTACAGACATATAATATTAGACAAAGTGAATCTCTCTCCTAGCCACATCAAGAAGCTGGTAAGAAACAGTATTTCATGGCCTAGCCAGAGCAACTCACTCACTAAGGGATCCAAACCAAAATACAAACCAGGGAGATTTAAAGCGTTAAATTGAATCAACACCCCTCCACCACCATGTCAAGACTAATGCAGTGTTGATTAGGAAATAAATGCAAGACCTCTTCCAGTTGCAAGTTGAGACAGGGAACACTACCATCAGTGGGGCTCTCCCCAACGCCCCTCCACAGGAAATCAGTCTGAGAGAAGCTCCTTTTTCCCCAGTCTTCTCCTTAGCACTCTCCTTGTCCTAACTTGCCATTTTTACACACCTAAACAGGAGAAAGACCTTTTGGCTAGACAGGCTAGCACTGTGAGCATGTACAGACTGGCCAGGATCCTCTGGTGTTGAAGCAGCTGTGCTCTGACCTCTCTTCCTTTACTTCTGAATGATGCTCTTTATCAGGGAGATTTTTTGTTTGTTTGGACTAGGTACTGCTGCCAATACCCTCAGGTAGCTCGTGAATATGGAAAACTCAGTTCTCTTGGGTCTTCACAGATAAGGATGTTATCTGATCATTTTCTCCCTCACTTCCCTAAGTGCACAGCTGACAAGATCCAGCATGCTGTTTTTCCCTGAGATAGAATATTCTGCAGTTCAGGTTATGGCACAGTAACCCACAGTAATATTCTAAGGCTCAGCACGCTATTTGATTTACACGGAGTGTGCACAAATAGGCTGTCGGGTTGTACTCTCAGTTCTGTCTGCACAGCAAATCTGTAAGCATTGGAATAAACACCACACACTCAATTTCAACAGCACATCAACATGATAGAAGATACTAATGGAAAGAACACGGCAAGTACAAAGGGCACAAAACCAAGCAGCTCCAAATCAACAGCTTAAACCACATAGATGTCTTTGAACTGAAGCCTCAGAAGTACTTTTTTTTTTTGGTTCATTTTTGCTATTCTTTTTCACAGGTCTCCCTCTCGCCTAGCTAAGAAAGAAAAATGAAAAATTACAAAGTCAGAGGTAGCTACTGACTGCAATCCAATATCTTCAGTAAGAGGACAGGTTCTAACACCAGAACTCAAATCCTTCCTGAAAGCAACTGCTTCTCTCCATGTCTTTGTTATTTAAAAAATAAAAATCACGTATGACTGGCACGTAACTGCTTTATAAGAGTGCTAAGTAATGTAGTTTTAAGTTTTAGATATCCAAACACAGCTTATGCAAGGAAAAATAATCAGTTCTGCCAGTGTA